ACCAGACCACCTCTGCCTCCCCAAGCCTTCAGCGACTCCGGCACAAATTCTAGCATCATTTTATTGAATTTATTACCACCCCCATGTGGTGACAGGCTTGACATTTTCAATTGTTCATGTGAGAATTTTCGGCAGCATCTTGGCAGTGTTAGTTCTTAGCAGGTGTAATAAAACTTCAGAAATACAATCTAGCAACCAGCATTCCACTTTCTAAAAGTGATTTTGCCTCTAATGCCAGCTTTCTCCAGAAATACTTCACTAAAAAGACACAAGAATTGCAAATAATCTTTTGGTTCCTGCATTCAGTTTGAACTGCAGGTAGTCCTGACAGGCATTTCCTAAAACAATAGTGAGCTTAACATGCAAAGGTATCTCATATTTTAGAGATACATGCTGTTTGGAAGCTACCAAAAATATTTTAGAAAATAGAAGGCCTTTCTAATTAGCAATATCAACTACAGCTCATCAGCCAACTGTTGCAACAAAAACAATGGATAACACATAGGGAACACCACGAAACAGCAGGCACACAAGCCTGGGATGAAATACAGAATCGCAGCCTAATTCTTAAAAAAACCCCACGTTTATTCCCTGGGAAACCAGAAGATGGACTCCACTGCACAGGGAGCCTCACGCACTCAGTGCTGGTCATTTTGTAGTCAGCTGAACTCCGCATTTTCCGGCCCTAATTTCAATTCTTTGAAGCACAAAGCACCTGGGAATTGTGGTATTTGGAAGATCCCAAACCCGCAAGTCAGACGTGGGTGCGAAGCGATGGTATAGCAGGCTGCTCGTCCTCAGCCCTCTCAGGAGCACAAGGGACTCTACCTATACATACGAGAGCTTCTGACAACCCAACCACACACACCGCTGCTCCTATCCAGGAGATCCAATCACACTCGGACATACATATGTCATGGAAGCCGTTACAAGGACAACAAAATCAGCAGAATCCTTTCCATCCTTTTGGAGCTGAGCCACCCAAAAAAGCCAAGTTGCCTGATGGAGAACCTCCAGACGGCTCTCCAAACGTCACTGCACAGCAGGCACACAACTACCGCTGAGGGCACTAGCAATGATAAAGATACAGCAGTTTCTGGAGGAGGTTTTTAGCCCCACTGTACTGCCAGACACCCGACGGAGGGATTCCTAGTCAGCACAGAGAGATTAAGGGGGTTTCTTTTAGCTGCCAAGAAAAAAAAGGGCATCCCTACCGAAGTGCGGTGCCAAGTCACCATGACAGTACCGAACACTCTGACCTCCTCCTCAAGTAATGAATTATGTAAACTTTCAGTGGCAGAGCACAGTTTAAGTTTCCTCCCTCGACAGCTCAGTGTCCCCCACTGCCTCGGAAGCAGAGCCTACAGATTTGCCCCTGCCAGCCCAGTCCAGTGCCAGGGGTCAGAGCCCACCGCCCCGCAGAGACCTCTGGACAGGGCGCGGCGCGGCTCTGGGGGTGTCACAGCCGTGACACTGACACATACAGCAGGCTGACATACTGCCTGCATGCTTCCCCGACAGCTCCGGGCTTAGACGACACATCTCACGTTCGGCCTCAAAGTCAAGTTATAAAAGGCTTTACTATTTACTAGCCTCTGATGAGGTGCGTCTTCCATCTCCGTGGCAAAAGGCTGATGGAGACGAGGGAGAAGGATCCATCGCCAGGCTTGACAAATGGGCATCTCTCAAGCTTGGCTTTAAGGACACACAGTTTATGAACAACTGGCATCCCTGTTTACCTCTCTCTCCATTTTTTTTTTTTTTTACTTCTTAGCACTGGACTTAAAAATTCCAGCGCTGTGCTTAGATGTTCCCCGGTACGCGCACAACGGACGGCAAAGAACAACCGCGGCTTTTTTCCTAGCCGCATTGCTTCGGTGTGAGATTCTGGGTTTTCCTTGCCCGAGAAGAACTCATGAAAACTTAAGAAAACAACCAACGACGGCAGTCCGAACCGGGAGGCACAGGCTGTGTTAAACACGCTGTTCTATTGCAAGGCAAGGTCACAACACCAGGCGACGAAGCTATCCGGTGCCTTCTGCTCATCAGCCAGGGCACTGCTCTCCATCAAGGGAAAGCTCATCAACATCAAGAACAGGGTAATCGTGTCTGTACCGAGCATACCACACATAGGAGTGGATTTTTGTTATTAAAAGCGATCTACAGCACACTTGATAAAAAGGAACCCCTGTACCTTCTCCTGGGTGTCGACAGCCCCACAGCAAAACCTCGGTTTGTATCTATCGTGAAAATCACATCACGTGGTGCTGCAACTTAGAGGAGAAAAGATTTCAGTAATTTCTGTATCACCGTCTTCTGAATTATCCACTTCTTATCCTGGCATCTGAAATCTAGCTCAGCAGCCAAAAAGCAAGTCACAGTATTTAATCCTTGTGTGTTATTTTGATGAAGAACATCAGCTCTTTCATAAGAAGTTTTTATATTAGATTTCATTGCCTTGTTAAAACATCGATTGACAGTGAGAAAATATAAACCAGTAGGTCACAGAATATAAATAATTTAAAGGGATAGAAATGACTGTCTAGGAAAGAAGACTGTAAAGGAAAGAAAAAGGCTCTTACTCTGCTTTGTAGTTTTTACTTATTGGGAGTTGGAAAAAAAAAAATACAAGCTTAAGTCCAGACATCCTATGTTCACATCCAATTGCCTTTGGAAAATACACTGCAAAAATCAGAAAACTGAAGCAGAAATCTTCACCACCAGAGAGCACTCACATTTAGGATTTCTCCCACCTGACAAACACTCCAGTCAAAAATAAAATTGTTCTTACCGAGGAAATGATGCAACTTCAAATGCACTCAGTACAAATAAAGAAAAGAGTTAGCTGGCAAGACTTGGAACCCATACTCCAAAACAACATCTGCAGAACGCAGACCGTTGAACAAAGGCACCCTACCACGCAATCGCCACTCCAAATGCTGCAATTCAAATTATAAAAGGGACTTTCTAATTAATCATTTACATGGTACCTCCTCAGTACTGAAAGATAAACAGAAACTTGCCGGGATCACAGACAGCAGGCAGCACTCCGCAGGCTTACTGCTATTTCCAGACTTCGGCAGACTCTGAGATCACCTACGCCAGCTACCAGGGATCGTCTGCAGTGAGATCACAGCCTGGGCTTCGCTGGGGTGTGAAACGGCTCCTCGGAAACACCGTTTGCCAGTCTCTCCCTCCATCTGTCTAACATCTGAGGAGCAGAGCAACTGCTGGAAAAATCATGTCAAGTCAAGTCGTCTCAATTTCTGTTACTTCAGGAGAGCTGAAGTGTAGCTATTGATATTATGCATTATTTCATCCAGGAGACAGATCTTCTCTCGTCTGGAACTACTCCTTTCTCACCATTGATCACAGATTGACATCATATTCTGCTTCACATTCATGTAGACACACTAAAGCTTTCCCATGTTAGCAGGTGCTCAGTAAACCTCCTTGGTCTCAGCCCTTCTTGCTCCCTGATGCTACACAGATGCTCCAGAAACTGAACATCTTCATGACAACAAGTCACAATGCAGCCATCAACTGAAGCTGGCCTTTCAGTTTAACTGTACAGCCGTAGCATAAAGCAAACGTTAACAAAAGAAGCAAAAGCAAATATTTCAGGACAGTTACAGGGGTGCTACAGATGCATCAGCCTGCACTGGACAGTCAACAGCTAAGCTAGTACCACTGAAAGTTAAAAGAATAAAAGCTGATGGTTTCAAACTATTATCTATTTCCAACTTATTCATAAACTCCAAAGCACAAACAAACCAAAATACTGGGTATGAGCATGCTTTTTCTTCCTTCCTCCTTTGTGTATGGGAAGAAGAATGATCTAGCAGCTGCACTCCTCTGGCCCGCAGAAGAGGGACAATCCCCCTTCCTGTCGCAAACACCCCGTGCGATTTGGGTTCTTCCCCCAAAGGGGGTCATAGGTCTTAGTTATTTTTTACCACCAAGTCTGTCCATTAAAAATCCATTACTGCAGGCTTTGACTCCACTCTCATCACAAACACGCATGAAGACATTCAATTAAAACTCGTGTTGATGAAGAGGCACACATGGATAGTCAAGGATGGGCCTTTAGCATGTGTTCACTAAGGAAGGGAATTCAAGCAGACTTCTGGCAGTGAAACTGTATTTACCTGTTTTTAAATGCAAGAATGTATAGCCAGCTGCACTGACACAAAGGAACAACTATTCTTCTCATGCTTTGGCAAGGAAGATGACTGCTTAAGCA